CAATTTGCTTTTTGACAAACATGTTAATGGTTGATCGGAATCCACTATGTGTCACAAGTAAATGACAGAGGGAATCAAAATATGGCTTTCTCATCCTAATTTGAGATAAACATGATGCCTCACTACTAAATACAGTGTTAAGAAACACTCCATTCCCTAGGATTCTGACCTCCCGGACCTTTTGACTCATAGATTCCGTATAATGTTTGACGATGACAACCATTGTAAGATATGTCATAATGGCACTAATGGTCGTACTGATCCGCCTATGCTTGGCCACAATATCATGTGTATCCTCATGCTTGACTGACAAGTCAAAAGATTGCCATGATACAACATGCCATTATAAGATAATATAAAAATAAATTGGGTGTCAAATGTGATACTTCATTTTATTCTAGTTTAAATATGAATTTTGTGTTATGTGAACATAAATGTAAATAGTACAGATTAGTTGCAAATAACCACTCACCCATTTCTTTATTGGGAGAACTAGAACTATATAACCACTCACCCATTGCTATTGGTGTTCAGAACACTACCTAAAATTTGATCATGGTCAGTTTAACTCAATTCTATATAACAACCCATTTCCCAGGTAAGTCAACAACAAAAGCTATATTGAACCTTGTTTATTGATAACAAAAAAGGTATATTTTATTAAAGTAGCTAATCAACTTCACCTCTAGCATCCAAAGATCTGTTGGACAATGAATTGAGATATTAGAACAGTCAACTCATGATACAGTAACCTCAGCAAGTCAACATGTTGTTAGTCTTTTAGAAGGCTTCCTAAAAGGTAATCCTAGTCAGCTGAACCCAGTTCTATAACAATCCCTTTTCCTAGGTAAGTCAAATGCCAATGAAAAACACTTACTAATATTAGACCTTGATTACTGAAAAAAGGATATTATATTAAAGTAATCAACTACACCTCTAGCCAGATTGTTAATGAGTTGGCATTTCTTTGGACCAGTATAAACAATATGTTAATTCTGGAATCCAAAAATCTATCCTTGAATGACAAACCAATTGGATTTTTTTATGAGCCTTCTGCTACTCTAAGGTTTGAATTATCAACAAGCAATGCAATTTTGGTCCCCAATGGTCAATTCCTATTGTGATCACAGTTACAACAAAAGTTAAGCTTCATCTATAATTAAGACCTTACATTAGAAAACTCCAAATGAATAAAGAAATTAAAAAAAAATGTTCCATGGATAAGGTAACAAAACCCAACCTCCATATCATATTCATATCATACTACCATATTTGCATATGCTCCCGTTTTCCTTTTCTTCTTCCTAATCAAAGATTTTGAGCCTAAGATCGCAAATTTTGGATTGTCCAAATTTTCTCAAAGAGGTGGATCTAGCTCAGAGTTCTCTAGGATTCAAGGAACAAAGGGGATGGCGCCAGAGTGGTCTTTGAACCTTTCCTATTACTGCCATGGTTGATGTGTACAGTTATGGGGTTGTACTCCTAGAAATTGTGAAGGGTACTCGACTTTCCAATTGGGTGGTTGTTGATGGAGAAGAGGAGGCAAAGATAATAAGATTTCTCAAGATGGTAAAGAAGAAGATTGAAAATACAGAAGATGCATGGGTTGAAGATATAGTCAATCTAAGATTGCAAGGACAGTTCAATAGGAATCAAGCAGTAATGACGATTAACATAGGTATATCCTGTGTGGAGGAGGATAGAAGCAAGAGGCCAACCATGGACATGGTAGTGCAAGCTCTACTAGAATGTGAAAATGATGAACCAGAGATCTTTACTGCAAGGAATAGCATTTTGTAATGTATGGAAAGAAAACGTACAAAACTTTCTTTCTACCATCATAGATGGATGTTATTTGATGTAGTGATTTGCTTTTCTTATGAATAATTCAATAATTTATGCGAAGACATTGTAACTTACAACAATAACCATTATAATATATGTTCATTTGTCTTTTTTTGATAAATAATATCTTGCATTCTAGCAAGGAGAATGTGTCCAATTCCAGCTTATGCATCCAAAAATGGAAATATCTATATACATGTATTCCGTAATCAATAGTTCGGATAGGAGCATTTTTTGTTTGGGCAGTAAGTCAGTAACCTTATGTTACGAATGCAATTTCACACTTGAATTTTGTATGAACAAGGGCATTGAATAAGGTATGTACCAAATCATCAAAATTTCTGTCAACTTAAAAAGATTTCAAGTCTTATTCCCTATTTAGAAAACATTTGAGACGTTGCATTGGAAAGGAAAAAAATTCACTGGAATCAAGAAGAAGAAGAAGAAGAAGAAGAAGAAGAAGAATGTATTTTTGAGGAAATCCAAAAATGCAGTAGATTTGCATGTTTTGGTGTTTGGAATGCAAGGATGCATTGCTTTATTATTGGACCTATGATGGTTTTGCTTGTATTAGCAATTTCATACTTCCAGTTTTTTTCCAAAAGCCAACCCCATACTTGATGATTTGTTTTTTCAAGAAAAAAGGGGAAATCCAAAAATCATATTTTATGCTGGGAAATGGATCTATGAATGATTTATCAATTCCATGGTAACTATAAATCTTGTATAAAGAAAGGCAAATATCACATATTCAAGAAGAGGTCTTCATCAAACAACAATGATAAGAATAAAAAATGATTAACAAACAAGAAGAATAACTTTCACCGTGCACATACTCGATTGTTGAAGACAAAGCGGAAGATGTGTAGATCTGAGAAAGAAGCAACAAAAAATGAAAAAAAAAACTTTTAGTCGAAGCAAAATACCGGATCTATACGTGTATGTGGACGAAGATGGATTTATACATCAGATCTGTGAAGCTCAAGACATATCTAATATTACCTTGTTTAGATCAAAGTAAAGACTTCAACCTAGATGAAGATCGAACATGAAAATCAGCAAGAACCCCGACCATCGACCACCTAGATGAAGATCGACAAGAACCCTGCAACCCAGACGACATGAACATAAAAATAGAAAAGACAAGTTAGTTTAAACACAAGAGGAGATCAACATATTGATCGTCGAACACCTACGACCATGCCATGGTCAGAGATGGAAGTGAGAAAGTTACCATTGGAAGAGGGGGGCGCAGCAGATCTCCTCTCTCTCAGTCGAAAAGCACAAAAGCATACCCTATTTACATTGTCACTCGAAGAGTGCAACTTTGCATTCAAAAAATAGATGCAGTAATGCACTCTTCAAATGATACAATCCTGTCAGAAAATATACTTTTACGCTTATAATTGATACATCTATGTATCGCAAACAAACACTCGCAAATGCGCACTGGAGTATATAAATACCCCAGTTCGGTGTTTGTATCGCAAACAAATGGAGCCATACGAAATAGAATTTCTCATAGGAATATGGGGAAAAACTGGTATGAACTTTAGAAAGGTTTTGGACCTAACCTGGAATATTTCAAAGTGTGGGGGTGCTTAGCAAAGGCAGGACTGCCCAAACCTTAAAATAGAAAATTAGGAACGGAAATTCCTTATTGTATTTTCATGGGATAGAAAATAGTGAAGTCTATCGATTTCAAGTTGAGGTATGAAAACAATATACTTGAACCAAATGCCATTATAGACTTGAGTCACTGAATTTTTCAAAAATGTGTTTCCTTAGAAAAAATAGACTAGTGAAATCTCAAAGCCTCAACCTCCTTCCATGAATTTGATGAAGGGCAATTGGTAACCTCTTAATTTTTTTTTTGAAGGGCAATTGGTAACCTCTTTTATGATACCAGTTATAAGTTTTTCCGGTATCATGCCTTACCAGTTGTATGTTTTTCCCATACCATGCCTTTCCGGTACAATAGTCGAATCCATTTGGTAGATAACGACCCAACAACTTATAATGAGACTATGTCTTCTCCCGAGTCAGTACTGTAGAAACCTTGCCAATCAGACATGATATGATGCATACAATGAACCTAGATGTCTCATCTCTACAGGTGGAGTCAGATGCTCTACTCTGGAGGATATTCTTCTCTTGGTCAGAGAGTTTTGACACATCCAGTTTTTTTTTTTATTATTAGGGAAAATTCCCGATTAGTACCTTGTACTTTGGGTCTAGTGAAAATTCAGTACCTGAACTTTCAAAACGTGTCAACCCAGTACCTATCGTTAACCAGTTGTTAACTAGCTGTTAAGTGGCATTTGAAAAAAACACAAATGCCCTTCAAGTGTCATCTAATTTTCTTGATCAACCATCCCAAAATTGACAAAAATTTAATAATTCCAAATCATTGCTTCTTCTATTCCAGAAAGTTGGGGTCACCAAAATGGCCACTAAGATGTGACTCAACTTTCTTAAATAGAAGAGGGAAGGATTTGAGACTGTTACTTTTTTATAACATTTAGATAGTTGATAAAGAAAATTAAATAACACTTAAAGGGCACTTGTGTATTTTTCAAATACCACTTAATGGCTGATCAACAACTGATTAACTACAAGTACTAGATTGACACGTTTTAAAAGTTCAGGTACTGAATTATCACATTTTAAAGTTCGGAGACCAAAATAACACTAAGCCCAAAGATACCAAGATTCAAAATATCGACACGTATCAGCTCGTATCATTCTAACACCTCACTAATACGCCCCTATAGGTGTATAAGTGGTCTAACCGGTTTAGGGTGTGGCAAAGACCTAAACCATCTCCCCTGAACCAGTTCGCGAAAAAAAATATTAAAAAAAAAAACCACCAAAAGGAATATCGATTCGCCCAATACAGCATATCGATATTTTGAACCTTGCAAGATACTAATCGGGAATTTCCCCTTATTATTATTATGACCATTTAAGTATTTATATTCCTCGTCCAGCGAACAATGCACCGCTCACTCTAGCACATTTGTCTTGCACTAGTATGCTCTTTTCCCATTGATCCGAACAAGCTATGTAATATCACTTCCAGAGATCGCAGTTCCAGTGAAGCTCAAGTTTTTGCACAAAGAAAAAGGATCATTGGAGAGATTTGGGAATACAAATAACGACCGAAAAATCAAGTACCTGCCTGTTTTTCATAACTAAAAGTTCATACCATCCGCTGATCAAAATATACATACATATTGTCCTGTAACCAAGTAGGAGCATGTACCCAAGCCTTCTCAGAAATATGCCATATTGAGCTAGCTAACTTGTGAGCAGGTATATTAAGGTGTCCCTATTTACATTAATAAAAAAGAACCGGAGGGGCATTCCTAGCTAAGGACTTGACCGCATCCAATCAATCTGCTCCAGCAGTATATAAAGCAGACAAGGTTGGCAAGGGTCGGAGAAGATGACAATCTGGTTCCACGCCTGATCATTGGACACCGACAGCTTTGAGAATTGCTAAAACTTCTGCTTCTTCATCCGTACCAAAAGAGATCCAGCACCTTCCAGTTGCCACACGACATAAAATTTGATGCACACTAGTGATGGAAGATACCATTTGCATGAGCTTGTCTTGTGAACAATATCAATTCTGGTCTGTTGCTAAAACTAAATCCACTAGCTTGTAATACGACTAATAAAAACAAACAGAAGGCTTCCCAAAGACATCTCTAAGAGGGAGGAGCCTCGTTAGCAGCAGCTTCAAATGTCTCTCCCGCAACAAGTTCTGGGACCTCATCATCATCTTCCTGTGTTGCAACTTCTCCCGGTGCCTGCTTCTGAAACTGCTCTGCAAGCCGCCTCAGATTGTCCAGGTTATCTGGTCCTGTAAGTTATACGAGGAACCATCAAAAAGGCAAATTCACACGAGTACAAAGTGAAGACATTGATCATCTCCCTAGAATGAAAACATCTGACACCAACATTCAAATAGAAGCAAGAATAATAAACTGGTAACCAAATGTTGCTGTAAAACCATGATTTAAATCTAAAATTCTCCACAAAAAATGCTAAGCATCAGGAAATTTAAATGTGCATATTCCACAGTTTATCATTGTTTCAGAGTATAAGCTACCATGAATTTACACTCAACCTATTTGCACTCCCATGTTTAAACCACTGCAATCCATTTGTTTCACTACAAAATCGATACGAGATTTCAGGATGAAACATTTCAGCTAATCCACATACAGAGTTTGCAACTTGTACACAAGAAGCCAAAGAAGATATAGTTGAGTTCAACTTCAAGATCAACTAATCCACATACAATGGTTACTATGGTTACTATAAGGTCCAAGTAACCTACATAAATCATTTTCTAGCAAAGGATCAGATTGTTGCCCTATTCTCTGGTCCTATTGGAGTGGGGGATGCTATAGTGTGGAGGTCCAAGCACTTTTACAAGGAGTACAGATTGCTAGAGAACAGAATGTTAGGAGATTGCTGATTGAAGGTGATTCTAATTGGTAATCACAAAGCTGAAGGAACCGGAGCATGTAACTTGGTCCTTTAAGGGGGCCATGGGAAAATTCAAGTGGCTAACTTCAAATTTAAAGGTGAGTCTCCAATGGAAAGGAGATCAGCAAATCCATTGGCAAATTCTTTAGCTAAGCAAGGGATGTGCAAGGACCAATTATTTTGGGATTAATTGTAATTATATTTTGCTTCAGAGGCTGCATCTCAAGCTTCAATGTGGAAGTTTTCATTGTGTAACTAACCATCTTGATTGATTATTTATAAAATGCTTATTGTCATCTGTCAAAAAAAATCAGCTAATGGGTTTGCAAATGCATTGGCAAAACAAGGGGTGAAAAGAGAAGACATGTTTTAGGGGGTGGGAGGGGATCCTTTATTCATTGATAGTGGAGAACCCCTGTAGGTATACAGCTTATGTATTCACCAACCCAATGTCTAAGTTGTAGCCACAAACATATAACTTTATATTGTAGATTTAATAATAACACATTGTTGTTACTCATCAGAAAGAACTTTGACAACTATGACCAGAGACCAGGAGCTTGTGAACAAGTGGTGTAGCCAATCCCCCCTCTAAAGTCTATAAATATGTTTCCTCTATTATATAATAATATTCTAATTGAGTTGTTTTGTAATGTTCCTCTCCCTTTTACTCTTTTTTCCTTTGCAAAAGTGCTAATTCACTCCCCCCACCAATATGTTTGATCTGAGACCCCTTTACTTTTCTTCCCCTTATCCCATTACAGATCTGATTTCCCTCTATTTCCCACAATATGAAGATCACGAGACATTTTCTCATTCCCATCCTATATCACCAGCATACCTATTTTCTAACAATTCATTTCTCACAAAGATAGACTTCTTGAAAGTTAAAACATCATGAAAATGAACACTTCTAAACTAAATGCATTCCTTTGTGCATTCTTGTTTCTTCCCCACCTAAGCAAAATCACTTGAAATGCAATTCAACCTCCAAAGTGAGGACCATCTAGGCATGTGAAGAAAGCAAAATCAAATTTCCACAAGTTATCAACATCAGTGTTGTCTGACAGTAGAGCTTTTGGATGAGCTATCACTCTTTCATTTCTTGCCCCATATGTGCAAGCACCCATTGAAGTACAGAAGTGTTACTGAAAGGGGCACAAGAAAAGATACCTATCGAAAAAAGGGACATTCAAACACTGGTCCAAATGTCCAAAATCTTCTCTTTGCTTGCTGTAAGTTAAAGCATAAAAGAAGGGCGGCTCCACACACTACATGCTTAAGTGATATATGAGAGGTTTCATTTTCTTTTTATCAAAGAGGTTAGTTTACATTGAAGCCTCAAATCTTTTTTTATACAAGTTTACTAGTTTTTGCATAGTACACCATGTGGGCATAACAAACAATGCAAGAACATGGTTCTCATTTTAGATCAAGCTTGAAGCCCTTGTACAAGAGAAACCACATTTTAGATTTTACATCCAAATTATTGAATTGGAAACACACCAAGGATCCAAACTGCATTGACAACAGAATCAGAGGAATTATACTCAAGAGAAGAAAGGAAAAAAAAAACCTATCTCATTTGCTTTATTTTTTATCAATAAAAAATACATTTTCTATTTGAATTGTTGTGTAAAATAGGTCAACAGTGTCATTTCTCAATACTTGTAACTTGTACAAATTAATCATACTTCTAAAATGCACAAACTTTTTTACAATGATTTGTTAAAACACAAAAATGTACACATTTAAAAACGCTCAGTACTATAAAATATGCTCTGAAAGAGTTGATGCTTTATACAATAGAAGATTCCAGGCAGTGCCAGTGACATACAGGTATGTATCCTGTTAGACACTGGTATGGTGTTCAGTATCTGGATGTCAAAGGATAGAAACATGGAAGATTGTAATTAAATGTTATCAATTAAATAATAGCAACTTTCAATGCAGTCATGACATAAAGAACATTAGACAAATAACACATGAATTTGTAATACAAAAGATAAAAAAGGCACATACCCAATTGGTTGATAATCCCTGGGAGAATATCTTGCAATTCTGTAATAGAAAAGATCAAATTATAGCTCCTGCAACTATATAAAATAAACAGAGAACATATAATGGCTTGCCCACAAGTAAGGATGGTGGTCCCTCCCCTCACTCACAGAAGGATAAATAATAAATTTAAGCAGCCATAGCCAACAGAAAGCATTATTACAACCATTTTATTGTACCAGCAGATCACATTCTGGAATTGAATGAATAATAGCAAAAGACAAAATCCCCATTAAACATTTATGCATACCATTGGGAGCTAAACAATCATCTTGCTCAATTTGGGATCCAGTGTAGAGCAGGTGGATATAAAACTGGCATCTGGGAAGGCATTTTACCTTTCTATAGGGGTGTTCACATTAAATGTCAAGCCGACCACCGACCAAACCGGTCCGACCCAACCCGAGTTGGTCGGTTTTTCAAAACCACCGGTCGGTTTCGATTTGTATTAGAAAATAAACTGACAACTTGGTTTGGTTTCAGTTTTCATACATGAAAACCAAAACCAAACCAAACCAATCCTATATGTTAAAATAATTATTAATTAGTCCCCACCCTATAAGTTAAATGTTGGTATATTTTATTTGTGTTTTGTTTGAACTTTGAAAAAAAATGGTTATTTATAATAAAAACTAAAAGCATAAAACCAATACAAATATAATACAATGGTACAATATTTAATTCAGTTTTGTATAAATTTAAATATATATTGACAAAAAAAATCAGTTTTGCATAAAAAAACTAATTGATTTAAATATATATTTTGATTTTGCATAAAAACTAAAAAGAAATAAACTTAAATATAAATAGATATTTAGAAATAGATGTTTTAGTTTAAAATATATATAAAAACTGACTAAACCGATAAACCGACCAAAACCGACCCTTCATGTTTGGGTCAGTTTTGCTTCAGGGTCGGTTGGTTTCGGTTTAATAAATAAGTAAACCGACTAGGTCAGGTCAGTTGAAGAAAATGACTCAAATCGACCCATGAACACCCGTACCTGTCTAAAGGGGGTAAGCTCAAAAGTACCCTAGCAAATGCCTTTCTCTTACCTGTCTAAAAGAGGTAAGCTCACCTTGATCACAAGCACTTTAACTAACCGTCCAATTTAATACCTTTTTCTCCTCCCAATACTAGGCTAACTAGCAAAACAGGGCAAAAAGCTCAGTTTGAAAAGAGGAGCCCAAGTTTCACCTTGATGTTTGGATTGAGGTGTGCTTTCCTAAATCTGCTGTTGGGTTGGGAACTAGGACATTCCAAGAACTGAATTAGGCTCCAGTTGGAAAGGGAATCAAGGTAAGCTTTCCTAAAAGCTCACCTTGGAAAGGGAATAAAAAAATGTCCAAGTTCGGCTCTAGTTGGGGAGGATGGGATCCATATTCAGATAAACCTTGCTGCTCATCTTGGAAGAGTATTGAAAAAGTTCATAATGATTCTGCTGCTGAGGCAAAATTCAAAGTGGGGAGGCCTCGTTTGATGCAAAGGTCTGCTGCTCATAGAGCACTCTGGGTACCCAAATTTCACAGAAACCTTCAAGACTGCAAGCTGGAGGAAGTCAGCAACCTGCACATTATGACGACAACTGACAGCATCTGGATGTGAGAAAACAGTGGATATTTCTCAATCAGGAGGCAGATTATAGAACCTAAACATTGTGATTTCCCTAGTAGAATTGAATGGAAAGCAAATGTACCATAAAAACTCGCCTTCTTGGTGTGGACTGCAGCATTAGTCAAATGTCTCACCAAGGATAAAGCTAAAAAAGAGGGGCATGGAATCCAACACAAAGGCTGAGTTCTGTAATTGTGCCGGTGTTTTCAGCACACAATATTGGAGGCTCTCTTCCATGGGCAAGTTGGTTACTTGAAGGGCAGGCTTCCATGGAAGGCCATTCTCACTGGTACAATTTGGATGGACAGCAATGCAATGATCTTCCACAGATATTCCCTCACGAAGATGAACTGACGAGGAACAATATTAGTATTAGATTGTGATTCTCCATGAGGGCGAAGTTTGCAGATACCCCTCTTGATGACCTGGGACTAATTTTAAGAGATTGATATTATTTTTGAATACCTGTTATGTTGTTTGCTTTTGTATAGGTCATCTAATATGACTCACTCTATAGGTAGTTTGGCCTCATGAATCTTGTGTGCAAAGCCTTTTTTAAACAAATGGTACCTGATCTTTCCAATAAATATATATCGTGTTAACCAGACATGAATATCACAAACACAATTTTCAGGGTACGGTAACAAAATTAAACAACCTAAAATACTAGGCTTAGCACAGATATCCAAGAATGACCACCATTCTTGTGAATCAATTCATGACATATTTGCACATACTGAAATTCAAAAAAGGCAAAATTGCATTGTTCTAAATAAAGAGAGCAGTAAACAGTACTCTTTGTCTGAGGAGAGCCACTAACAACCCAAGTGTTGGCAGCAATCGAGGCTTGAACTGAAATAGGAGAAAAGTTAAGTATTAGAATGAGAAAGCATAAAAATTGGCAATGGTTGATAAATGTTTTTAGGCCCACTTCATGGTGGGTTCTCACCAGTATTTTAAAAACCACAGAAGGCTTATGCCTTGAGGCTTATATCAAGGAAATCAATGGCTCAAGAAAAACGCATTGAGGCAGGCCCATAACTGAATATAGCACATTCTTGAACATTAGGTATTACCTTTAGGGTTCAAAAACTGGATGACTATATCATCCTTAAAAATGTTGACTTCCTCAATTGCAGGGATAGCATTCACCCCTATTCTTTTCAGGGTACTTTGAAGCCTTTTGTCATCTGTGGTTGTAGTCTTATGAACCGCCTTCTTTTTTCTGTAACCAAAAGAATAATATATGGTGCTTATAAAAAAAGGCATAATACATGGTTCATAAACACAACAGACAAGTATAAAAACTAGATACAGGTCTACAGCAGATAAACTGATATTTGCAAAAACTAAAGAAAAGAAACCGAGAGTTATGAACAAAAAAAATAAATCAGTTTCAATTTCCAAGGCAAATAATCAAATACCATAGAGCTTTCATTAAACCCAATTCATTACCATCAATGACAGTTAGTTGACAGGCAATTGCAATAGATTTTAAAGATAATATATGAACTTCTGACCATGTAGCCAATTCTTGGAGGAGGTAGCTGGGAACATAGTTGTCAAGGAGTCTAGGTGATTCAGGGCAACAGTGGGGGCACCTAGTTACCTAGTCAGCCGAGCAGGTATCTAGGCGAAGCGTAAGTGATAAGAATTTAATAAAATAAAAATCCAAACAATTGCTAGTTCCCTAGTTTTTTTATACTGAATTCTAAACTCTAATATTACACAATTAAAGCACTATACCATCCAATGTTCAAAATTTTCAAACTCAAACAAACTCCATAGCATAATGTCATTGGATCGCTCCTTATAGAAGCCCTAACCGACACAAACCAAAAAGAGTAAGCCAATGATTCGACTCCAGAAAGAGAAGTCTCTCCAACAACAAACCTCGTTCTTCAACGGTATGATTTCTGGAACCTCGCATGAGCACCCCGCCCACTGAACTTCTTGGGCTTGCAACACCAAGGATCCGCAACAAGCAGTGTTCAGTCGTACCTCACCAGAACGTCTTTGATTTCCTTCTTCGACTGTTCGTCTATGTACTTCTGGTAGTACGCAACCAATGCCTTGGCAATGCTCTGTCAAATTGCATATATCTGTGAGGTGTGCCCACCACCTCTCTACTCGGATTCACATATCGACACCAGAGAACCGGTTCCTACCAAGCAGAAGAATGGGCTCGAAAGCTTTATAATGGAGGATCTCCGGCTCCACCTACTCAATCGGACAGCCATTAATCTTGGTCAGGCCCCTCCTGCGCTTGTAGTAGGTAACGACAACGGCCGTTTTCTTTCGGCCAAAACATTGAACGGACTCTATCGACGTCGCCATGGATGTGGTCCTTCCCTCTTGTTCTCTGCCTCTCTCTCTCTCTCTCTTTTACCTATGCTCCGTCCTCTCCTCTCTAAACCCTACTATTCCCTAGTGTTATATACCATGGAGCATGCATGTTAATTGAAAAAAGTACCAATTCTCTTTATTAAGAATATTAGATTTCCTCTCAACATGGCAAAGCATGTTTTCTTTTATCAGCAACTCAAAGAATTTAATTAAAACTTAAAAGTAAAAGAGAATACAACGAGAAGCGGTAAGGAATAGAACCCTTAACAACAAAAAGACCCACCGCCCTTTTAACATTGAGAAAAAATGATGTCTATATACTCCTTGTTTAGCCAAAACAAATGTAGCATTATCAATAATATTATAATAAGGCACCTTATTTATCATTTGTCACCAAGGCTGGCACTTTATTTCCAAGGTAGAAGCTAGTTGCCTAGATAGGTGCCTTGTTGCCATAGGTCATGGCTTTCAGGTGAGACGCCCACACAAGGGTACCTACCAAAAACCATCATGGCATTTGCACCATTCATTGAATTCTTCAAGGAAAATTTGCATTCAGTGCTTCTATGGAAGAAACTGTTTTCCCATTATAATACTAGAAGGTCAAGAAGATGAGCAAATCATCTAACTGTTGTGAATACAATGGATTGCAGATCACTGTTAATAGCTGTCAGAAACATTTACATCAATAAATTCAAGTGCTGATAATGTGTTATATGTATTAAATCTTAGAAAATTAGTCTATGTGAAAGCTCTATACAAAATAAATTTGCTAACATGCAGTACATTAAAAATTATATAAAAACAGTAGTGTCTAAAAACAGGCATGATAAACCAAATTCCTTTACATTGAAAGCCAAGTAAATCCAAAAGTTACGTAAAATACGACACTTAACAAGGAAGAAACAAGACTTCTGAAAGTTTATTGTTTTTAAATAGCACCATACAACCAAGTAATATGACAAGTGGCAAAATTTCACAAATAGCCTGCATTAAAAGTAGGATAGGCAACCAAATTCGAGAAGACCAACCCATCCATGAGGTGGCCTATTCATTGAAGAGCACAAATCCATTTGTAGTTGTTCAATATAAAATGCTGAAAGTTAATAATCTTCCACAAGAAAAGAATTTAACTAACCAAATTGGTTTGCTCTGGCCTCATTTTAAAAGATTAAATTTTAAATTCTAAGGATCATCAAACATATTTTGAAAGAATAGTAAGAAACAAAATAGTATTAAACACACCTTCGCATGCTACCCTTTCCACCGGTGCGAACTGCACCAGCCATCTTCATAAGTTTTTCACGATTCATCTGCAAATGAACAATGTATCAGGGCAATGGAATAACCTAATGATATTAAAACATCACAAGTATTTGCACTTTAAATAAAAAAGTAACGGGACAAACAGAATCCATACAAAGAAAAGGCCAATGCTCAAGAAAACCAAGAATGCAAAACAGGTAACCAAAACCAAAATAAGAGAAGGTTGTTCAACAAGGCTAATCAAGATCTTCAGAAAATAGCATGCAGTTATGTTATGGTCTAAAAATTTCCAAATAGGTACCACATCCCTCTGCATCATCTAAGTTCTGTAACCATTTTTTATCAGCAAATAAACTCATTAATTAATGTCTGAGATAAATACATGGCTTTAGCTACAAAATAGCCCAAAAAATCATTAGAAAAGCAGCTTGTCCACACTATTTGGGTTTGCCATCCCCCTTTTCTTGCTATTATAGATTACAATATTGCCCAAAATAATATGGATTTATCTGCTCCCTGTTTGACTTGCTTTGCCCAAGAAATAACCAACAAAGATTCACCCTCTACTTCTAGCTCGCTAACACCTAACTGCATTGCTAGTTTTAGTCCTTGTAAGAGAGCCACTATTCCATCCTTAACCAAGTCTCTAAATCCAATTGGTCCCAAGAATAAGGTCAATACTGCTCCTTGATGGTTTCTAAAGACTCCCCCTATACCTGCCCTCCCCTGATTGCCAAAAGAGGTGGCATCAAAATTTAGTTTCAGCTTATTTCGCCTGGAGGTTTCCATTCCATTCTCACTGCTTTGTGTGTATCTGTTTGTACCACTTCAGCCCATTTCCATAATAAGTCATTTGTAGAGACATCTACGAAGATTTCCATTGTTGTTGCCCAATGTGCAGATTTAACCTTTATGATTTCAATCACTTCCTCCTTAGATTTACTTTTCTCTAGGAAAATCCATTGGTTTCTTTCTTTCCAGGCAATCCATACCAGTGTTGCTCTTATTCTCCACGAGCATCTTCCCCTTTTCTTCTATTGCCTCAAGAAACTAGACTTAAATAAACTAACCACATCTTGTGGGGGAACTCATCTACAACCAAAGAGAAAATGGATGTGATCCCAAATACAAGTCACAAAAGAACAAGAGATTAGCAAATGAAGAAGAGTCACACCACTAGACTTATAAAGGAGACGCATGAGGAGAAAGGCGATTGTTTGCCTTCTTTTCTATAGCATATCATAGGTGTTAATCTTTTCAATGAATATTTCCCAACAAAGAGAATGTGCTTCAGGAAGAATTGGTTTGCACCAAATTTCTCTCTCTCACCGGGAAATTCACCCCCAAAGGTTTTGAATTGATGAAAAGGTTAAAGAAGGAAGCACAAGAGAAGGGGCCATCAGGTGAGGGTTACCAAACTCTACCATCCAAGAGATTTTGATCCAAAAAGACCTTTTCCAAAAGTGAGAGTAGGATGATAAGTGACTCACACTCATTATCCCTCAAACCCTTTTTGAAACCAAAGTCCCAATTTAAGCCACGTTCTTAGGGCAAGCCAAATCTAGAAACAGGTTCATTCTTAAGGTTTGTTAATGAATAAAGTATAGGAAATTGCGGTTTGAGTGGTAGATCCCCAAGCCAGAGGTCTCCCCAAAATAAGACTCCATTCTCACAGCTGACAGCCCACATCAAAACGGATAAAATTGAGAAAGGTAGGCAGTACCTCAGAGATTGCTTTCCAAGGGGAATTTGAAGTAGTGTAAGACTCAAGTTTTGCATTCCAGCAATTGTCTGCTACATTTACAATGAATGCTTCCAATGACCTTGTGCCATATCTGCCTTCCTCTATAGGAAATCTCCAAAGCCACTTCCCTAAAAGAGGTATATTCCTTTTAATTAGATACCCACTACCCAAACTCGCTCCGTAGATTTACACACCTGTTCCCACCTCACTAAATGATGCTTCTTTTCCTCTCCCACAAAAAATCCCTCGTCAGTTGTCACACACACGTACACAGGGAGGTTAAATCAGATGAGCACACACACACGTACACAGGGAGGTTATATCAAAAGATTCGCCGGCTAAACTTGAAACCAAGTTAGTCGTTTAACCACACAGATACACATGGTGATGACATACATATCAAGCGAAACTGAAGAATGCAACAGCATGCAATGTCTATTAGAAAAAGATCCAACAGATAAACCCTAACCGACCTGCAACTTTTCCCCAATTATTTGCATCTGAAGGAATAGTCCAAACAATCAAGCAATATCAAGCTATAACTATAATCAGTTTAAACCTAAGTTCCAATAACAACGACAAATCAGAAATCTGATATCACCGAAACGAACATGGGGGATCTTCAAGAAAGAAAAACTGAAAAACCATTTTTGAAGGGCTCACAGTAGAGCTTAACCTGAACTGTTGTTCTCTTCAAAATTTGCTCGATGCAAAACCCTGGTCCTGCAATGACAAGGGCACCCCGACCCCTTATCTGAAAATTGAACCGCTCAAACCCTAGCCTCTCTGCCTATGCTATATGACTATATCCAAGTACCAAGTAACCGTCTCTGCAAAACACACTATTTATTTTCCTACTATGCCTTTACAATGAACAATGAGTAGGGCTGTTCCCAAACCGGTCAACCCGGTCCGATCCAATCCGAGTTGGCCGGTTTTTCTTTGGCATCGGTCGGTTTCGATTACAAAAAAACATAAACCGATGGTTTGGTTTGGTTTCGATTTTTATGTGTGAAAACCGAAACCGAACCGACTTAGATATATATTATATATATAATATATTTCAGATATTATATATATATATATCGGATATATTTCAATTTTAATATATATTTCAGATATATATTTGTGGATATATATATATATATATACATATTTCAGCTTTATTTCAGAAATATGCATATTATATATAAAATTCCTGATATATAAAATATCAGTTTTAATCCATCAAATCATTTTTAATTTCCAGGCATCCAGCCTTTGCTTTCTTAGACTTGAATCCTTTACCGTTCACACCAAGAGAACCATTCACCAAACCAACCCAAACCGATTCAAACCGATCAAGTTGGTTTTAATTAGTACTAGGTCGGTTTTGGTTTCATTTCTAGGTAAACCGACCAGGTCGAGTCGGTTGGAAAAATGCCAGTAAACTGACCCAACCCGACTCGTGAACAACCCTAACAATGAGGACCACAAGGGCATGAACCGGTGCCAAAGAGGTGAGCGGAAGCCGATTTGAGGCATAATAGTACAAAATTTATAATTTTTTAATTTTATGTATATAAATGTAATGTTTGTACATGTGTCTATAATATTTATTTATATTGATACAATTTATTTTATTTTATGTTTATAACTATGTTTATCTAAATTTGTTAGTATATACATGCATACTAGAATTATTTGCAATATTTTATAATTTATATATTCAAGGTACAATTTATTTATTTATAGAAAGTTTATATTTATATTCATTTTTGTACCTGTACCATTTATAAAGATGAGGACGGTTATAATGTTTTGTTAAAAAGCCTGATTTTGTAATTTCCATTTTTACTCTTATCATGTTTTGTATTTTAAAGCTTATTTTTACTTTCCATTTTTACCTTTTATATTATTATGTTTTTATTTTTCTAATTTTATTTAATTAATGGCTAATACTTGTAATTGGGTAATCTCGTACCATTTATAAAAATGAGGATGGTGACAATGTTTTGTCAAAAAGCCAAATTTTCACTTTTCATTTTTATACTTTTATCATGTTTTTTATTTTAAGGCTTGATTTTCACTTTTGATTTTACCCTTTGTTATGTTTTTTATTTTTCAGTTTTATTTAATTAATGGTTAATGCTTGTATGGTAAAGCAAATAAAATAATAGTAAGATTGTTGTGGAACCTATTCCTCACTTTATCTGATCTTCTCCTGAAGCACCTACCTGACGAACATCTTCATTGATTAGAGCCAACACGTGTCAAGCATTGGATGGTTTGCCCAAACCACGAATTTGAATTGAAGGGAAGAATGGATTTTTTTCAACCTCTCTCTTTTCATCATGGAACAATCAATTAGATGATTAAATGAAGCTTTTTTTTTTGTTTGTTTTCTCCCTGATTTTTTTTTTTTTCAATTGTCTCCATTAACGTAATAAGTTGTATTGGATCAGGGAATGCTCTTATCATTATATTGATTCGTTTTATAGTATTTTTCTCAACGATCATCAGGCCAATTTGGTAATCTAACACCCAACCAATATAATACCGTAAGGGTTGTACTTGGTAGGGTTGTAGGGGTTTGGAACTCATTTTGTTGGTAGGAGATCCATACTCTTTTATATAAATCAAGCAGATGTTCGATTCAAATCTGAATATAAATGAATCAAGATCAACTTATATCCTGATGTTAACCATTAGATATGCAAATAATGGCCCCACCATTGACGAGCAGAACAGCAAGAGGCAAAAGGTCAAATGCCATCATCATTCACACATTAAGTGAAGACTTAAATTCTAAAGCCCCAATTCTCTCCTTTAAACCCCTCTCTGCATAGTGTATATCTTATCCATTCCCTCTACTTCACGCTAGGAAGGAGGAAGCTGAAATGGCGTCTCTCTTATCCTATGCACCTTTCTCTTCAAAATGAAGAAAACAATATAAATTACAAAAAACAAAGAAATACATAAAAAATTACAAAAAATATAGAAAATCAGAAAATTTTTTATATCTATATCTATACCATATTAAAGAATGAGAATGTTGCAATTGGTTTGGTCAAAACACCCTAATTTTACTTTCCAACTTTATCCTCAACTTTCTAATTTTCCCCATTGTATATATTGTCATTGCAAAATAATTATGAAAATCATAAAATGAAGAAAACAATATAAATTATAAAAAAACAAATAAATACATAGAAAATTTACAAAAAAGATATAGAAAATCATAGAAATTTCTATACCCCATACTAAAAAATGAGAGTGTTGCAACTGGTTTGGGTTGAGCTTCAACCCATCCCACTTAAACCATCAACCCACTAATGACCCATTTTGGGGTCATTACAAAAAATAAAGAAATACACAAAACATTACAAGAAATGAAGAAAACCATAAAAATTGATGAAAATAACAAAAATTACAAAAAACAAAGAAAACTATAAATTACAGAAAAACAAAAATATAAAAATTTCATTCCATGGGCCCTGGACATGTTTATTAATTAGGCCCAGGTCTTCTAAGGGCATTTGGCTACTAAGATTGTATGTTATTGATGTGGGGTGACCCAACCCAGCCCATTCGAGGTTGGGAGGCCCAACCCACGAGCGCTAGACCTGGGAACGAGATCCGCATAGTAGGAGTTACTTTACTCCCCTTGTACGAAGCCAATAGTGGAGCGCCCACGCGTCCCCGCAGAGATCTCTGACTACCCTCGTATGACACCCATCTCAGGTGTTCATCTCCACCTACCTCTAGGCAGCTCAAGTATAAATAGGGGTACTCCCTTCCAGGTAAAAAAAAAAAATAAAGAAAGGAAGACAATCTACGTCTGGACTTGGAACTGATCTCAAAAGTTGTATTCTAATTCCCCTCTTTGTACCCTGTACTAACTTGAACGTCAGAGACTCTGCCTCGGATTCTCACCCGGGGCCTCTAATGTATTCTGCCTTGTAGAACCTCGACTACCTACCTTCAGCTTCTACAATATTCGGAGCCCTCTTCCCTTTGGCCTTCATACCTTGGCCTCGACAACAAGCTCCTCGAACCCTCGAAGTCTTCGGCCAGCCTTCAAAGTCTAGGGCAAAATTACTTTGTTGTCCTCACCCATCCCAAGCAACAACAATTGGCACCGTCTGTGGGAAACGTCGCTAGGACATTCCCTAAAAAAATTTAACAAGCTAACAAGTCCCCAAGCTCCAACCAACCAACATGGTACAAAGGACAAGAAATACAAAAAATCTTGTCACTAATAAATAGTTTCAGGTCGTGTTTGACCACCTGGAATACTTGACACAATGAGTCGAGTAGAACTACCCCCAAGCAGGAGGCCACCCCCAAGGTAGGTGGCCACCCCGTTGGGGAGTCAACACAGTCGGGCTGGCATGGGTGCACCAGCCAATCAGTCCCCAGCCTCGGCCATGCATAGCGGACCGAGCCCTCAGAGTTAGGTAGCAGTCGTCTAGCCGACCTGCTCTCCCGAACCTCTAGACCTCCCAACCGAAGGGAGGAGGAGCTGGAACGATCGGAGGATAGCTGACAGCCCTCCGAGCAGCATCGCTGACGCTGAAGGGCCAACCCGAAGGACGAAGGTGGATGCCGTGATCGCCCCAGCGCCCGTTCTAGGGCTGAGGGATGGTGTTGAGCCTTTTCCCCTCACGTCTTGGACCTCCAAGATGTCCTGAACGACCGCCACGCTAAGTGCGAAGCACGCGGTCTCAACTCTGAGCACTCTGGAGTCCGTGTCAAGCACCACTGTGTTCGTGAAGGCTAGGATGGCGCATGGGCCATGCCCGACCCCATGTTTGTCAAACTCCGAGCCAAGCTCGGAGCTGTCAAAGCCAAGCTCCAGCAGGTTAAGGAAGGCCGAACTGACACCTCGGCCATGAAAGGGAACCACCTAGGGAAATTGAATGTCTTCTCCCCTGATATCGTCGCCGAACCTCTACCCCCGAACTTCAAGGCTCCTACCTTGGAGATGTACAATGGGAACACAGACCCGAATGACCACTTAGAGAGCTTCAAGGGAGCCGCTCGGTGGTGGTTTTCTGGCCTCCCACCTCAATCCATCACCTCATGGGAGTAGTTTTCCAGCATGTTCCTCGCCTGCTTCATCAGCAATCGATGCCCCCAGAAAAGCGTTGTCCCGCCGATGACTGTCAAGCACAAGCGATGAGAGAGTTTGTTGTCATACATTGACCACTTCAAAAAAGAAGAACTCGAGGTCCATGACCTCGACCCCTTGGTCTCCGTGCTTCGTTGCTTCGGCTACGGACACCCATTGCTTCGTTGCCAAAATCTAGCCAAAGACAAAGTTTGAGTTCCTAGAAAGGGCCCAAAAATACATTGCCGTCGAAGAGGCTTCGGCTACGGACACCCATGAGAGAGACACAGAGCACCGGGACGGAGCCCCTGAGAAGAAGAAGAAGAACGGAGACCAGGGCTGCGGCAACGGAAACAACAATAGGAAGCCACCAGCCTTGGCCTTGGCTTACAATCAGTACATGCCACTCAACTCCACCCACACACAGATTCTGATGTAGATTGGGTAGGAAAAAATTTATGAAGTGGCCTGAAAAGTTGAAAAAGAACCCCCGCTGGGGGAACCCCAAAAAATACTACAAGTTCCACCGAGGTAACAGCCACGACACCGAGGACTGTTATGATCTCAAAAAACGAGATAGAGTCCCTCATTCGTCAGGGCCACATCAAGTAGTACATTGGAGGTGAGGTCAGCACCTCGTCCTCCCAACAGCAGGCATCATTGACGTCATAGTAGGAGGCATGGTAGATGGACTCAAAGGGGAAAAGGGAGAAGGGGTATGGGAAGAACTTCCTT